TTTCAAACATGACTGTTCTTTCATTCATGACTTTTCTTTCACCATATGCTTCTGTAAGCAACTGAAGCACCTCTGTTGCAGATTTCATCAAAATAAAGAATTAAATTAAAAGTTCCTGCAAATGACGTTCATTTGTCTTGTAACTTGGCATTTTCGCATGAAAAAATATGTGATACGGGTGCAAAATTGCTAACATTTCAAGGTTATATTGTCAGCAGATGTTCAAGCTTATGATATGACGTTTTACATCAGACAATTTTAATTATAACTTACTGGTGGTGCCATTATTTGTCAAGTGGTGGAGACTTATTTATACTCCCAATAATATTATTATAAATAAAAAATTGATTTCTTCTGGATGATTTTCTTTACCTGGGAAGAAACTTGCCAACCTTCCAGCGAATGCATCATTTCCAAAATCTTATTTAAACTTGATGCTGGCTGTAATATATTAAACCTTGTTTAGTAGAAAAGAATGCATTGTTTCTGAAATTTTTAATTATGTAATGCAGTTAAGATTAAAGTTCAGTATTTAAATTTATCCAATCAAAATTGCAAAATACGTCATTACCTGCAACAGCAAAAACTTTTAATTTATTGCACTGTTTTTATGAGAAAATAAATTGAATTTTTTAATTTCCTTTTTTAATTTAATTTTATTTTCTATTTTTTCCACATATATTTTTCTGCGCTCACTTCTGTGAATTTAGATTCTGAAGCTGAATTTTATTTATCTCTAACAAAAATGTCTTTGTTTTTGTTTCATATGTAATGAAGTAAACATAGATGTAATGATGTTGTAGATAGAGAAATACTGCATTTTTTGTAGATTTAGATCTGTAGTGAAGAGAAACTTGGGAACCGAAGCAGATTAAACACTCATCTTTTTCTCAGTAAACACGCTGCGGTCACAAACAGCTTGGCGCTATAATTGGTACCTATTTCAAAATGCTTATATTTTTGATAGCTTTCTGGTGAGAAGAAGCTAGCAGCAGTCTATCTAAGCCGAAGTACAGAAAATAAAGTGTTCTGCGTTCAGCATGAAATCTCAATTCAGGATGAGTTAGTTTCAGTTTCATTTGACTGGATAATTATGCTTTAAATTTGTTATTGGCTGTGAGTTTTAGTTCTATTTACATCTATTATGCAAGAGCCATGAGACATGGTTTAGTTTCAAAATAATGCAGTGCAGGAAAAGATATTGCTATTTTTAGAACAGAGAGGAGAAATACTTAAATTAAAATTAACATTAAGGGTCTGTTGCTAATTTAAATTATAATTTATATTCACATTTTTAAAAACTTATATTTCCACTTTATCTTTCATGTATTAATTACTGAAAAAAAGGTCATTGGGATCTTATAAATAAGATTAAATTTTGTAAAAAGTTATTTAAAAAATTGTAATCCTCCTGCAGTTGAGAGCACTAGGTGGGCTTTGTTTATTACTAAAGCCAGAAGTGATGCTCACTTTATTATGCGAGTACCTAATAGGCGGGCCACCATTGCCTTTTATGAACGGACAGGAAAATGAAACATTTAAGTTGGTAACAAAAAAAGGGCAGATGACACTATTCAAAATTTTCTCTGTCCATTGATTCAATCAATACATTGTACACTGCAAAAAAAGGGGGGGCAGTTCTGTATCTCCTGTTCTACTGGGACAATTGACGAAATTCAAATTGCGTTTTTCGTGTCTCAAAAGTGAGACTTAGGATATATATTAGATTTATATATAGCATTATTCTAACAATCGCACAAGTAGTTTTTAAAAAATTAGCTCTCAAAATTTTAGCTCTTCAGTGTTAATTGAATTTGGCATGTATTTATTAATATCTCTTTTTTTATTAAACTTTTTTGATTCTTCGTTTCACATTTTGAACTTCAGGTCCATTCTAAATAAAATTTGCCCATTTTTCATGATTTATTTTTAAATAATTTTTATAAATTTTTGAAAAAAATTCTCAATTATAACCTATAAAATTTTTACCATCATCTTAAAGTAGGTGTGTTTCTAAGCATACCTGCAAAAAATTAGTTTTTATTCAAAATTTTCTAAGATATACACAAATTTACATATTGGCACGTTTTGAAATTTGGTACCTTTTTTTTTAGCGATAATAATGCCAAATGTGGCTTATGGATTTTGTTATAGTGAATTGCCACAGCTATTTTCGACCTTAAATTTCAAATTAATTTTGATGGAGAATTAATTATAAGAAATTTTCTTCCTCGATGATGCGTAATAAATATTTATTGATACTATATAAAAAGCTATTTTTTAAAATTGTAAATGAAATTAAATATCTTTTCTGATTAAAATTTCTTTTTCATCCTTTTTTTTTTAACTATTTGTAAGAGTAAATTTTTACTTTCGCTGTGTTATCGTCTGCTACTTCACCTTAACTTCATTTAAACTGAATTGTCTAAAACTGAGAAAGTTTATTTGATGTTTATTTTCACAATGTTTTTAAGTAAACAGAATGTTAACAGTTTGTGTCATGTCCCAGCTTTAAGAAATATATGTATAATTATAAATTTTTACATTAATTCTCTTAGAAAGAATGTTTTAAATAGTAATTTTCTCTCACATTGTAGATTATATAAAAAACATATTTTTAATATAGAAATTATTAGGCTTAAAAACTCTAAATATTATGATTTAGGTTGCTTGCACCCGATATAAAAATGGGCCACTTGGTGGTACAGGATAAGCGCTGCTGGAGTGGTTTATTTCTTGCTCATTTAACAAAAATCTTTTAATTCAAATATTTATCCTTTGGACTGCTTTAAACTTTATTTATAGTTAAAATGTCTAGAAAATGAAAAGCTGTCTTCAGCTGAAATGCATTTGATTCAAATGATATTTTAAAAAAATTGACAAGAATGCAAAATTTATGGAAGTGTAACAATCAATCTTAATTTTCTTGTGTCAGCACTGAAAACAAATGTAGAAGGAAATTAGAATAAAAAAAGCAAAGAGAAAAAACACTTGGATGTGTACACCAGCAAATAGCAGCAGTTTGTACTAACGGAAAAGACAAAAACAATATCATTGCAGGTTAAAGTGAAGAGCGACTGGTTTACGACTGTATGGTTGTATAAATTTAATACGTCATAGAATATCATATCGTGTTGAAACCGGAGCATCCTGTGATTTCTCAGTCAAATTAAAAATTTATCCAGTGACGTACATATATGGATATCATCTAAAGATGTTTTCTCTCTTGATAAAACCAGTCTTTTCTTTCATCTAATACCTTCAAGATGTCTAGCCTCTAAAGACTGGTAAAGGTTCTGACCAAATACTGATGAAATGGATTGAATTGGATTATTAAGTTATGGCAAAGCAGGTCTATCTGCTTAAAAGGAGGGATGCCTTTGTGAAGAACTTTCGAAGGAAAACCAGCTTGTATACATGTTACACATGAGAAAAACCACAAAAACGCCCATGCAACCAGCTCGCTCGCTGGGATTTGAACCCCACAGCGAACTACTAGTGTTCAGCGACTTTACCGCTGAGCTATTTGTGGGCCCTTTTGAAATGGAAGGCCATAACTTTATTAAAAATTAATGTCAGAAATATAGAAATGTTTCAAAAAGTTGGGTGCTTTTTAATATACTTGCAGAATGTCTGAAGAAAAAGAGCAAGCCATTAAGAAGAAAAAATAAATTTTTACATTAAATTTAATATTTCTTTTAATTTAAAAATTTTTTAATTTCATGATATTTGATTCTTGCAATTACAAAAATAAAATATTTGACTAAAATATGAATGACATTTTAAGAAACTAAATGTAAGATGGTAAAATTGTGTAAAATTTATAATGATAAAACAATGATAAAACTGTTTAAATCAGTGCACGCAAGTCTTCTTAAGTTCAAATGTCGGATATACATTACTCTTATTTATATATCTTCTCTGAATGGAACAATGAAAGGCGTGTTAACTGTGCTTTACTGTATTTTCCCTTTTAATATATGCAGTTTTCAAATGCTTCGTAGTCTGGGTCACAAAGTATTCTTCCAAATGAAATGCAATTCAAATAAATAAAATCAAATTCTGGAAAATTCATATTGATAAATATATTTAAAATACGCAGTTCAAGTGAATAGAAAATTCTAAAACAGTTATCTGAAGAGACAATGCAACATAAACAATTAAAATAGAAGTCTAAACTTAAAAATTACCTAAAATAATAACTATGATGAAAAATAGTGTAACGAAAACTATTTAAAAAAAATAAACATTTTATGCACCTTTTATTTAAACTATGCAGTTCGAATGAGTAAATAGAAATTTTTAAAACAGTTATTTGAAAGAAGCCATGCAACTTAAACAAATGAAATTTGAAAAAGAAAAAAACTTATTTAAAATAATAACAATTAAAATTAAAAATTTAATATAAGGAACATTTTTTGAAGGATCGATGTGACTTATTTTCCGCTCTCGAACAATGTAAATAGGTAGCCTTATATTAAGAAGTTTGCCAAGTGAGCTATTCTTAGTGCAAACTGGGAAAAAAAAAAAAAAAAAAAAAAGCATCAAGATAAATTTTTTAATTCTCCATAAATTTCACACCACATTTTACAAAATTTAATACTTGGGCATAATTTGAGTCGTAGAATCGAACTATGTAAAAAAAAATTGGTATGTTATTTCGGAAAAGGTCCGATTTTGTGTCAAAATACCTATGTTGGAATAGTGCTATATTTAAATCTAATACATATCCTAAGTCACGCTTTCGAGACATAAAAAATGCAGTTTGAATTTCGTCAATCGGCCCAGCAGAATGGGAGATGTAGAACTGTCCCCCCTTTTTTTCACAGTGTACAATCAGTTAATCAGTTGTATATTACACAATCTAATGTACTTATTGATTGAATCATGAACCTTATTATAGTGCTATGTATATACAGCGGCTAAATATAGATATTATATATTAATACGCTCAAAAATTAGTTTCTTCCACTTTAATGAAACAAATCTATTTCTTTCAGCCAGTTTTTTTCCTCCCCCCACCTGCAACTGTGGAAGGAAACGTGCCAATCCCTCCTCTTGTATGTAATTATTTCAATTACCCATTGCATTGTGATTCATTTGAAGCTACAGTTTGTCAAACTCAATAGACATTAACCGTTGAAAACATCAGCAAATTAATGTATGGCCATAATGAAAAAAATCTGATGTGTACACCACATGACTTCCTTGTACGGAATATTAAATTATGCGCATTTTTTCTTGCATTTCGTTTAAACTTATTGGAATTAAATCTACTTCGCCGACAGCGCATAAACCGCAATAGAATAAATGGATTCTTTAAAATTCACTCTACTTGCTTACCATAGCAACACTCTGTCTAGGTTCACCTAACAGTATTATATTTCGTTCATATTATAACTCGGAATGCACAAAATTTATATCATTTAAAGAATTATCTAATGGTTGCCACATGTCCTATTCAAATATTATAATAAAGCTAGAATGACGTATAAAAGAAATTGAGCAAACAAAACAAAAAAGAAACAGTTTTTCACAGACGATTGAGTATTTCTCATTCAATTAATTCAGTTCTCACTTCGTGACAAGGCAAAAATACATAAAAACTCAAAATATCTGTATTAAAAATTACAAAGTAAAACTTAAACACTTATTTCCTCGAAAAAATTCCAGAAAGGATTAAGCATGATTTAATTTGGGATAATAAATGAAGGCGTTACCTTTATTGTTGCGAAGCTAAGTTTCTCTAGATTGGCAACAAATCCACTATTCTGCCTGTTTCAAATGTAAACAAATCAATGTCCGCCATAAAAAAAAAATTATTAAACTTAAGCGGCACTTAAACAACTTTTAAAATTGTTGATAATTCTACAAGCATTTTCTATCCAGATTACTAAGGCATAAAGACCTTAAAAAATAATCCTTAACCGGAAAGATAAAAATAACATAATTCAATCATTTTTAAAGCAAAAAATGTACAATTTACAAAGAGTAAAGAAACTGAGATCACTGTTCGGGTAACAGAGTGGATATATATAAAAAATATATTTATATACGTTTGATGCGGCCGATTGCAACCAAAATACGAGGTGCACATCTACATGTTAAAGCAGTCCTATATACAAAATTTCAATGTTTTGAGGTTACTCGTTTTTGAGTTATGCGAAATACGTACATACATACGTTCGTACAGACGCCATGAAAAATTCTCTTCAGAATTCATTTTAAAGCAGTTTTATAATTTTTTGGGAGGGAAAGAGTATTATATTCTGTCCTTACGTACAGATATAACGAAAAAACATTGTTAAATTGCATTCGATAGCGGCCAAAAGGGATATTTTCGTTGAAATGTGCTGCCTGAAACTTTTCGTGATTACAAATACTTCCTTTTTACTTTGTACAAGGAATTAAAAATGGGGGATTCCGCAAAACACATTTAACACCCTTTTTCTTACTGGTATGAACAAAGCTGCAAAGCCATTTCAATTTTAAGTTGTAATTTAAATTTCATGAGGTGGTTATTCAAGCACAATCTTTTTTTTGCGTGTGTGTGAAGAATACCTTTTTCTTGAAAATATAGAATGGCCACTTGTTCGTCTCTTTTTGGGCAAATTCTAAATCATGAAATTCATTCAAGAAAAACAGCTTTGATTAGATGAGTAACATGGCTGCATGAGCAACCAGCTGTGATGTTTATAAATTCATCATTGAGGAAACACACCCACATCAAATAAGTAAAAATGAAAATATCTGAATGGATGACTTTAACAAAAAAGCACTGAGGCGTCAGTCATGGAAATGTATAGTCCTATTTTCTGATGTTAATGTGAGTGTCATTAAATTGTGCTTTATTTCTGTGCATAAGCAATGATAGGTTCACTGTAAGTTCATAGGTGTATATTTTATGTGCTCAATTTTTTTACTGTTTAAGTATTTATTGTAGTGTTGATTTTGTATTTAATGGATAACTAAAAGATTTCTGTAATTGCCATTTCTAAAATCTGTATTAACTTTTAGTATAGATTATGAAAGCTAAATTGTTGAAAAAAAGTTTTTTTTGTTTCATTTTAGCAACAGGCTTTTGAAAAGGAACTAGAAGAGAAGGAAGTTTTAATTAAAAAGTTTGAAAATGAAATAGCGGAGAATAAGGTTTTAATAGAAAAGTTTGAACATGAACTAGCAGAGAATAAAGTCTTCATTGAAAAGCTTGAAAAAAAACTAGGAGAGAAAAATACCTTGGTCGTAAGGTATGACAAGATAATATCAGAGAAAAGTATATTAGTGGTTGAGTTGGAAAGAGAACTAGCAGAAAAAAATTCCACAATTGAAGAGGTACAACAATTCTAATGATAAAAAATTATGAATTATTTCTTTTATGTTTTATTCTTCCATGTGTCCAAAAAATAATAATAGCAGTTGATGAATTTAATTTGTCCCATAGTAATAGTAGAAAAAAAAAGTATAGAATGTAGCATTTATTATAAAAAAAACTGAATTAAACTGAGCAATAAATTTAAAATATTACTCCTAATTTTGTATTTTCAGTTTTCAGATAATTTTTTTGATTTTTCAGTAATTTCTTTACTGCATTTTAAACTTGCAAGTAGAATAACTTGGCTGTGAAGCTTTGCTTGTTACATGCATGAGCGTAAAATTATTGGAGCTGTCATTCTTCATTGCTTTCAGCATAACTTGTTAAAGTGACAGAAACATATTATCAAAGGCGCCATGTTTACTGCTTTTATGTTGCCTTATCTGCTAAGAGGAATATGTCAATGTTTTTCAAATTTTTCTCTATATTCTTTGCATTTACCTCCACTGTTTTGTTTATTCAGAGTCAACATTAGCATGAGATAAATCTTGCCAACAATTTTTGGAAGCACATTTCCAAATTCTTAATATGATCATTCCATTGCACTTAGACAATTAGAAGGTGATCTTTGTTCGAAAACCTTTTTTTTTTTAATCTTACTTTCACAATGTTTTACTGATATAAAGCACTTGTTTTTATCAATGGATTAAATTAAAAAAATAGTTATAATTTTTAATAATAAGGTTAATCTAAAAATTTAAATGTGAAAACAATTGACATATGTAATGAAACATTAATTTTAATGGAAGGCTTTGCAATTTTGCACTACAACATAACAGCTGCATTCGCCAATAATTGCTGTTTAAATATTCACTTATTATTATTATTATTATTACCTATTATTTGGAAACAGTGGGCGTAGTAATTATAGTAATCCTCAATTTTATATTGAGTATATTTTATTTATATAGTATTATTTTGAATTTTGTGTTATAAGAGTCCTCAATTTTTAATTTTTAGCTGAATTTCTTCTTTTTATAATAAAATTATCTTTGGAATTTATGCAATTTTTGCTATATTCTTTTCACTATGCAGCAAGAGCTTGCTGTAATGACAACTTGTTTTAGTTGGGTGGGACAGGACCCCATAAGGACCAGTGCCGGGAGAACGAAGCACTGTCACGGGACCAGACCCTCTAAAATGGATCGTCACCACCGGCCCCCGCATTTTCAGCACTTAAGCCTAATTTTGTGGGGAAAAAAAAAAAAAAAAAAAAATCATATAAAATCAGCATTTTGATATTATGACTTCAATTTTTGAAGTTGCATATTTAATGTACTTGATTTTTTAATGTGTATTAAAATAAAGAATATCACATTAATAGAAATAAATTAAACAGGCAAAATAATAAATACTAGAAACATGAAAAAAAAAATTTACAAATACGAAATTTAAAAAACTAAACAAGAATTACCTATAGGTAATTAAATTCCAGTTTAAAAATTCTGCTGTGTGTGAAATAATTCAAAACAAGAATCGACACACAGTCCTACATTGCATATTTCACACTCAAAATACGTTGTTTGCTTTCGCTTTTCCTTGGTTTTAGTGCACACAACGCATCTTCTCCTACTTTTATTATTACCTCCTCCGTCAATGTAAATTTTTGGAAACTGTCTTCCATTTAGACGGAAAGGTGGAGAGTCCAGTGATTTTGAACAAATTTTAAAGTTTTTAAGTAAGGTCTTTTAGCCATGGCTAACGGAATGAAAGTAATTATAACCCCAACACATCTCACAAAACTTCAAAAGACACTCAGAAATATTTCATCCTCAAATACTGTATGACATCAGGTTTATATTGGAAGGCTTCCTGTTTTTCTAAATCGAAAATGTCTACGATTACCGGAAAGTAAGTAAAGACCCCCCCACTGGCAGGATATCCGTTACTGATCACGTCAATATATATATAATTACATTATATGTAAAGTAAATACATTATATACCAAATATAATGCCTGTGCCATTATATATAATGACCATTCAAGGCATTATATATAATGACTTATTAAATTGAGTAAGAAAAACAAAAATGCTGGCTCTTTCCTGAGAAATGCGAGCAAGACGCATTATGTGTCGAGAAAGCTGATAGTATTTTCCCTTCTGTAATAATTTTGTAATGTTACTTTTTAATTAACCAATAAAGCTTATGTTAAGTTTCAAAATAAATAGAAAAACCAACAAAAAAAGAATCCTAACAAAATAAACAAAAACACCCTTTAATTCACAGGCGCACTTATAAAGAGCCGTGATGTCCAGTTTGTTTATTTCAATAAATCTCTCAAGACCAGAAGCACAAAACAGAAAGCCATATGAATCAATCTATGTGAAAACAATTACCACTTAGCTCCATTTACTGGCTTTTAACAATTCAAATAATTCGTTCCATTTTAATATCTCATATACGAGACGCTGGGCTTGTAGGAGCACAATCGTTGCGTCGCGTATACGGGACGCTAGGCTGGTAGGAGTGGAATCGTTGCATGGCGTATATGCGACACTGGTCCTGAACGGGTTAAATTGCAGCAGAGTTCATCAGAGCTGAGCTCTGGTACTTCTCAGTTTTTGAAATAAATCATAATTTTAGTTGGAGTGCTTTGGCATTATTTTTATGCAACTGAATCTTTCATCTGACAAATTTTATTCTAATAATAAATATGCCTTAAATAGATTTTCTGAAATAAACTTCTAAATGCATGCCTGTCTTCCACTAGAATACAAACTTTGGACTGAAGTTGAGACTTTTGTGGAGAGAAAACCCCCACCTGCATGTCAAAAGCTTATTCTTCAGAAAGTGCAGTGAATTTATGACTGCAGATAAATTTTTCAGTCTTAAAAGTACAAAAGGTAATCACCACGATCCTACATGCGCCGCACTAGGGAACTTCCGCTGCAGAGATCTTGCAGACTTTTTGAACTGTGTAACTAAACATAGGGGACCACAATTGTTACTTGTGCAGAGGAGCCTAACATTTATTCTCACATTGTTATCGGATCGGCTTTAGAGAACATTTCTGTTCGACAACTACAGTCAACTCCCAATTTATTTGAGTAATATAGGGGAGGATATGCATGGTTAACTCAAACTATGGTAAATTCAAAGCCAGTAAAACAGTAAGCTGAAGTAAATAACTATAATATATGAAAAAAAAAAAATACTACAAGGAAATTTACTTGTACAATATTTTTAGGAACTGTGGTTAAATAAAGTTTCAAATCCACTAGAATAGATGAGAAACACGCCAATGTGACAATTAAAATCGCAATAACAACCTTGTGTTTGGCGTACATATATTACAACACTCAATCGATTTCGAGGGCAGCTAAAAGTCTCTCCTCATCAGAACTAATTTACGAGAAAGGGGGGGGGAAGAAGAAAATAAAGCATTGGCAAAAGGAGTCTCAGAAATACATGCTCGTTATCAGCATTGCATGTGGTTGGTTGCAACCGGACTTATGAATCAAGAGTTACACTAGCCGCCTACTTTTACTGAGCCAGGCTATCTGATCAAACATATAATAAGTAGACTAAAATGCAAGAAAAAATCAGCGAAGTCAAAAATAAGCAGTGAGGAGCAACTGCACCTTCACGCATCTAGTCTGAGCCTCAAATAAAAAAAAAAAAATAAAATAATTTTTTTTTTGTTTTTTTAGGCTCAGTCTAGGTGTATGAAGGTGCAACATGCCTCTAAAAGACCTTTTGATCGCTTATCCAATGGTAAACAGTTTCAATTTGTGTTTTTCCTGCCAGGTCATAATTGTCACGCAAGATTTACTGATCATGTGACCAGGAGCATTCTTTTCTTTTTCAGACATAGGAAGCTTTATTGGCAAGCATTTCCAAAATAACTGATTCATCAATATTGTATATTTGCTCTGGAAGCAACTTTTCAGTCTAAATAAAGTTTTTAAAATCACTGCAAAAATCTTGTTCCAGTCTGATCACCACTCAAAAGTTCACTGTGTATTTAGAGCTCTCAAATACCATGTTTGAAATGAATAAGTCATCCTGATGATGCATAGAATTCGCCCTCAAGTCCTAATTGCTAAAAAAAAAATTATTTAACTTTTTCTATACAAATCAATGGGTTTCCTTGTGCTACCTCCTGACTAAACCACTCCAACATGGCTTTATCCAATTTCTTGTAGGTTGACTTTTTCATTGTTTTCCTTTCCCTCATTTCCAGGCAGAATTGGATGCCCTTAATAAATTGCACAATCTGCTTGCCAACTCCTTACTGCAAAGACAGTGATTTTACACTTGATCCATTCTCTACTTACGTATTGTTTCAAGCTTCTGATGAATGGAGAGAACAACACCATTTCTATTCTTTTCCTGACATTTTGCAGGCGATACAGATTACAGTAATTCACGACCACCTGGTCATTGAAAAAGTAAAACCCGCATTCTCTTGAAGCATTCAAGCTAGTTGCAATTTCTATTTCGGCGAAAGTATAAAAATTATTTACCAACTAGAACTTCTTCAATTACTGTATTGCCAAATTAAGAGTGTGCCTATTATCAGCTGTAAGGAGAGCTCAGGCCACAGGAAGGGATTTGTAACTACAGACAGTTTGTTGAAAACATATTAGAAAGAAAGAAGGGGGAATAAGCCTGAAAATTCATCAACTAAAATTTCATATCAATGTCTGCTCTCTCTCTCACTAGTATGCCTGCTGATGATTCTTGTAATATTTTCCCCACAAGTGCTTTTTTTTTTTTTTTTTTTTTTTTTTTTTTTAAAAGCCAGGCCTTGGTTAATGCCCCCTGGTAAATCAGGAGTTGAATGTAGAATTATATCAGCAAGCCATGGCAGTCAGAAAGTGGTAAGACTCTCTCTTCTTTTTCAAAGCTACACTTCTCCATTAAAACTTCCTTCCAATATTCTCATAATTTTTCTAGCATTCTCTCTGATATTCTACTATTCTTTCTAGCATTCTCATACTGTTTCTAGCTTTCTCATTAGTGACACTTTAAACATTTTATTTATTTATTTATTTTTGCTGGTGTGCTGCAAAAAAGAATGGTTTTTGTATCTGTCATCCCTTGAAATAATACGTAATGTATAATCAAGGCTTGAATTCAGCCGGAGGCTGAGCTATTTCTTAGTTTCAGGGGCAAACTCTAATCCCAGCTGGAGCCCCAGTTAAGAGGAGGCCCTATATTATTTTATTTAACTATTTATAATAGTATTTTTCTACTTTGATGGTCAAACCAGTATTTTTTGCAAAGCAACAGAACATGCACCCAAAAATAATGGTTTATTTAAAATTTTCTGAAAGTTAGAATCTGCTTTTAAATTAAAAAAAAAAAAAAAAAAAAAAGGTGTTAATGCATATGCAAAAATGCTAAATAATTTCAATAATTCACTTTTTCAGCTGAAACATGTTATAGTATAGTTTTGTTAAAAAAGTTAATTTCTTTTTATATATAAGAAAAAATAAGTTTTAAAATTGTCATGCAAGATTTTCTAAAAAGATTTGTTTTCATCAAAAAATGAGTGTGATTGTAGAGATTTTCAGAGTAAAAATGGTTGTAGGTTATTAGAATTTTATGAAATTTTTCAAAAGTTTATATGTGATATTCATTGTAATATAGCAGTTTTTGCTGTTTAATATATATATATATTTGGTATTCATTGGAAGTATATTCTAATAACCAAGATATGTTGCATTTCTTTTTTTTAGCTTGAGGAGGAAGTAACTGTCTTCAAAGAAGACCTAGATGACAAAAGTGTTTTAATAAATAAGGTAGTAGTATTCTTTGAATTATTTGATTTTTTTTGTTTTGTTTATTTTTTAAATGATATTAAATATTAAACATCTAATAAAAAACCCGATGTGGGAATATTTTAAAATTTTCTTTTTTCTTTTATAGTTGAAAAGAGAAATTTCAGCTCTGCAAAACACTATAAAAAATTCTTCTGAAAGTCAGGCAGACAAGGTATATACCTTATTGCTTACATAAAGAATTAGTAGTTTTAGTAGCATGTGTTGTGCAAGTGTCAAAATTTAGTGCTGGATTAAGTATCCAGCAGGCCCTTGCCAAAATGTAAATAAAGCCTCCATTTATAGTATGGAGCCATATTCTAATGAAATCTTAAATAGTTGTTTAAAATTAGTATTAAAAATGATTAATATAAACAAAAATAGTTTCTGGTATGAAAAAGAATGTGTAAAAATATCACAATCAGTTTTTTAAAGATTTAAACAGTGTATTTCCCGATTTTCATTTCAGAAAATTAATCTATAATATCTAGTCTAGCTGTTTGAAAGTACTCTTTCTGTGGCAAAAATTGCTAAATATTTTAGCCTTTCCTGTCCTTTTGAATTAAACTTTTTAATTACTTTTGAAATAGAGAAAGCTTGTTTTCTTGTTGCATTACTTAGTTGTCATTAAGTAAATTAACATTTCATTATTTGGAAATGAATTATTTTTTATAAATTGGTACTATCATTAAGGCTGCATAATTTTCCCCCCATTACAATAAATTGTATGATCTTACTGTCTGAATCTTCATTATCATGCCACTGAAACAATCCCTTTTTTTGGGGGGGGGGAGGATCATTTGTATAATCTGACATACTCTTAAAATTGTTAAATTCTGTAAAATGTTTTTAAAATGTTTTTATAATTTTTTGGCATGTTTTACATTTCATATAAATTTTGCTATATGTTTTCCTTGATCATTTTGCTAGAAATTTGTCTTAATTGCGGAACTAATTTTACTTCTGCTTGATCAGTTAAATATTCATTAGTTTAATTTTCGTTAAAAAGTCATTTCTGTTTCCTAGGTCTTCCTTGACTATTAACATACATTTTGATATTGGATATTGCTTTATTTTAGATTTCATTACATTTAAACATTAAGTAGTGTATGTATTGCAGTAATCTTTGTAACACATTTATGCACATTCAGACGTTTTTACTAGAATTTTGTAAGGATTTGAAAGATGGATTCATCCTTGTCAATATTTTGTTTCAAGTAGTAGTAATAAGAATAAAACACTAGTTTTCTTATTTTATCCTCAGGGTGTTTTGCTTTGCCTTGAATATAAGAATTTTATGATTCACTTTGAATATAATGAAGTAAAAATCTTAGTATTTTCATAATTCATTTTAGATTGTGTTTATTGCATCTATTCGGCATTACTGCATAGAATTGTATAGTCTCTTAATAGTGAAATATATTTCATTTCTGATAAATTTAGATTCCAAAGCATTCCTGTGGCTATTCAATGTAAAATATCCAAATTCTTTCTTCTAAATTAAAATACAATGCAGCTTATAAAATCCTGAGCAGCAGTATTCCTGAGCAGAGCAATTAGGAGAGAACTTTATGCAATCTTCAGATCAGTAAAACAATTTCACGAACATCTGTATGGAAAAAAAATTATAATATTAACGGATGCTAAACCTCTGACTTTCCATATTAGTCTTGACAAACAGCCAGATATTGTAGCACGCTGGTTGTTATATCTACAGGAATTTCAATACACGATAGAGCATATTCCTGGTTTAAAAAACCCAGCAGATTACTTGTCAAGAGTTTCAGAGGATGTAGTGGTAAACAATGTAAATATATTTAGGACCAATGATAATTTGTCTATTCAAAACATAATTAGTAAACAGCAAAGTGATCCATACATAAAATCAATTATAAAAAAATTACAGGATAACCACAAAGAAAGTGTAGAACAATATTTTATTGATAGTCATACAGATGTAGTAATGATAAAATTAAAACCTGTAAATGCTAGAAAGAAAGACAGAAGTATCCAGAATAAAATTCTAATTCTTAAGGCATTAATTAAAGATGTATTACAGACAGTTCATGCGCCTCACTTTGGTGTTCAAAAGACATACGAGTCTGTAAAGGCAAAGTATTGTTGGAAAGGTAAGTACAGTGATACTAAAAGTTTTGTAGAAAATTGTTCAGATTGGTTACAAAATAAGTCTAGACCTCACAACACTGCCACGTCTAATTTCTAAGAAAGATCTTGCTCTTGGAGAGATGATAGCTATAGACATAGTTGTTAAACTACCAAGATTCATAGATAATAAGTTTTATTGTACAGTCAAATGTCGTTAATTCGGACACCCGTAATCCGGAATGATCTATAATCCGGACCTCAAAGCTAAAATCTTTCTGCGCATGCGCCGCATTGACGCGCACGAGTAAAACGCATCGGCGTTTTACTCGTTCGCGCAAGACATTTACGACTGGGCATATGCGTCTGCGCAAGTGCAGAATACGTTTTCGCGTGCGCATTTAATGTATAACGGACGGTATAAGCTAAAATTATGTAATTATCTATTTCAGTTAATGTTGATAATTGCGTTGTTCCTTAATCTTCGAATTGGATCCCGCTTATTATTTTTTGCAGACTGTAAGAGCAATTTTATAAAAGTAAGCTTGAACTTTCGATTATGTCAAATAGAATTTCCGATGCTGGAGCTCCCAAAGGATCTAGAAAACGAAAGTATGTTTCGATGTCCATCAAACAAAAACGAATTGCTACAAAAAATGGATAAAGGCATATCCTTTGTTTATCTAACCGTTCCGAAATCTGTTTATCAATTTCACGCTGCTCTGCGACAGGGGGAGGGGGACGTCGCTGGCGCGCAATGAACTGGAAGTTGATCTGTCAGCACTATCGTTATCTTCAGGGCAGATGTTTTTATTTTATTCGGTTTATAATTCCTTACTAAATGTAGTATTTAATTTCGATGTACTCCGTCTTTGATATGATTTAAATCAAATTCCTCGTCATTATAAATATCACGAATACAAATCAAATAGTTTTCTGGTTGCAATTTTCTAATTTCGGCTATGCGTAAGGTATGCTTTACGCATCTGCGTGTTGAAAGAAATGTTTAATAAAGTAAACAAATAAATATTAGGCTTCTTTTTTAGTAAACTTTGATACCCTTTAGATCATAATTGCTCATTATTTTATAAATTACGGTTTCATATTTTTAATTTTATAATTTCTACATGCCATCTTACCAGATTTAAACTGATGATCTATAATCCGGAAAAATCGATAATCCGGAAGTCCCGACGAGTCCGGATTAAAGACTTCTGACTGTACTCACTATCATTGATCATTATTCCAGATATTTGAAAACAGTTCCGTTAAACAACTGCATTTCTCAATCCATCATAAAATCTTTAAATGATTATTTTGCCAGATTTGGCATTCCAAAAACTTTGTTATCAGACAACGATTCCTGTTTAATATAGCAGTAGAATTGCTGAAGAGAATTTTAAACTGTTTAATATAGCAGTAGAATTGCTGAAGAGAAATAAGTTTTGTCCTACAGGATATACAAACAAAAAACTTTTCAATCTTTAAACTATTCTATTTAATAATTTAAAAGCATTGCATGCATTTATAAAACGGTAATTTCATTTCTGAAAATAATCAAAACCATTACAAGATGAGTATCTACTCTTACTTCTTCATGGTACACATTTTTATGTGTTGTTAAATAATTCAAATATAAAAGAAGTATAATAACTTTTGTTTCATAAAAAAATTTCTAGGGGAAAAAATGTTCTTAAACATTCATTCCAGACTAGCAGCTTCGCTGCCAGCCTTCGTCTGGCTTTTAAATGTACCAGAAAAATAGAAGGGAACACCAAATGTTAAATTTAAAAACTGCTTAGAAAAAAGCTTAATATTTATTTGTTTACTTTATTAAATATTTCTTTCAATGTAAGTTGTTTAAGGCTTTGCTGTTTATGTGATAATACATTCTCTTTAATTCTATAAACAGACATAATTTCTTGTTCAGTTACAAAGTTCCGCCGTTCAAGTTTTATAATTGCTGTGTTGAGAATACCGACTAATTTGTCAATCGAAATTTTTCCGTTTTCAATAACCTCTGTGTCACTTTTTTCACTATCAGAAGCGAATTATAATGACGAGGAACTTGATTTAAATCATATCAAAGACGGAGTACATCGAGATGAAATACTACATTTAGTAAGGAATTATAAGCCAAATAAAATAAAAACTTCTGCCCTGAAGATAAGAATAGTGCTGACAGATCAACTTCCAACTCATTGCGCGCCGCGGTGTGAAATTGATAAACAGATTTCGGATTTCGAAACATACTTTCGCTTTGTAGATCCTTTACATATTAGTAAATATATATCGGAAATTTTTATTTGACATAATCGAAAGTTCAAGCTCACTTTTATAAAATTGCTCTAACAGTCTGCAAAAAATAATAAGCCGGATCCAATTCGAAAATTAAGGAACAACGCAATCTGCAACATTAACTGAATTAGATAATTTTAGCTTAGCTTATACCGTCCGTTATACATTAAACGCGCATGCGCACACTCATATTCGCAGCCGTAAAGGTATTACGCGCACGCGTAAACGCCTATGCGCAGAAAGTTTGTAGCTTTGAGGTCCGGATTATGGGTGTCCGAATTAACGACTTTTGACTGTAATTTTTTTAATTTAGCACCAGGTTATTAGTCAACCAAGAGAAATCTCCCAAAATTATCAAATCACCATTTTGGCATTTCTTTCATTTTACCAAGCAGGGTTTAGTCAAGTCAGTAATTTAGTATGGGAAACAAGTAGATTAAATATTTTTTAACAAAGTGATTTAAAATTTAAGTAATTGAATATTTTTAACAAAGTGATTTAAAATTTAAGTTAAGTAATTTTTTGCCAGGTATTAAAAATGTATATATATCAAGCACAGCCATATTAAAATCAAACTTTTGTTTAATAAAAGTCTGTGATTTTATCTTTGAAAACTTTTTTATATTTGTAAAATTAAAAACAATAATAATCCCAAAACAAAGCAGACTAAACCATTTCCCCCCTTCAAAACTTTTGTTCATAACCTTAGTTTATAGCACATGAGTGTGCTAAGTTTTGAAATTTGAAAGTCACCCAAGAGAAATCTCCCAAAATTAAAGTTGTTATCAAATCAACATAGTGAGCTCTCATTTAGTATAAAAAACAAGTAGACTGAATATTTTTAAATAAAGTGATTTAAAATTTAAGCAATTTTATACTAAATTGCATTAATATATCAAGCACAGCCATATTAAAATTAAACTTTTGTTTAATAAAAGTGTGTGATTTCGTTTCTGAAAACTTCTTTATGCTTGTAAAATTACAAACAAGATTCTAAAAATAATGAATATAATAATGAAGCAAATTAAGTAAAACTTTTTTTTTTTTTTTTTTTTCAAGCTTCACTTCTCCATTAAAACTTCCTTCCAATATTTTCATATTTTTTCTAGCATTCTCTCTGATATTCTTCTACTATTCTCTCTAGCATTCTCATACTGTAAGAATAATCTCATGTAAGGATATAGGTAGAAAAGAATTAGAATGTTGTTTTCTGTGAGCAGTAAACCAGAATTAAGGAAGGAATTTTTAGGTTGCCCCTATTAACATTTTGTATATTACCTTTATTTATTAAATAAGAAGGCCGCACTTAAACCACGTAGAATTCAATTTAACAGCAGAAGACATACAATAGACGTCCAGAAGTATTGCTAAAAAATAGAAAAGGCATGCTTCAGTATTGACAAAAATTGAAGAAATATGTGTACTATTTTAACAGTCTCTCAGTACCATTTTGCATAAATTATCATTGCATTCTATTCTCATTAGTGACACTTTAACCCTATTATCTTTTTTCACTGGTGTGCTGCAGAAAGAATGTTTTTTGTATTTATCGTCCCTTGAAGTAATACATACTGTTGTGGAGCTGTTTCTTAGTTTCAGGGGGAAACTGTTATTCAAGACGGAGCCCCAGTTAAGAAGAGGTCCTATATTATATTATTTTATTTAACTATTTATAATTAATAAGATTTTTCTTCTTTGACGGTCAAACCAATATTTTTTGCAAGTCAACAGAACATGCACCCAAAAGTAATGGTTTATCTAAAACTGAAAATTTTCTTAAAGTTAGAATCTGCATTTAATATTAAAAGAAGTGTTAATGCATATGCAAAAATGCTAAATAATTTCAATAATTCACTTTTTCAGCTGAAACATGTCATAGTATAGTTTTGTTAAAAAAAAGTTAATCTCTTTTATATACAGAAAAAAATAAATTTAAAATTTATCCTGCAAGATTTTCTAAAAAGATTAGTTTTCATCAAAAAATGAGTGTGATTATAGAGATTTTCAGAGTAAAAATAGTTGTGGGTTATTAGAATTTTATTAAATGTTTTAAAAGTTAATATGTGATGTTCACTGTAATATAGCAGTTTTTGCTGCTTGATATACATAGTATATTCTAATCACCAAGGTATGTTGCATTTATTTATTTTTTATTTTTTATTTTTAGCATGAGAATAAAATAAATAGCTTAGAAAAAGAACTAGATGAGAAGAATATTTTGATAGATAAGGTAGTATTCTTTAACTTATTTGATTTTTTTGTTTTATTTTTGAATGATGTTAAATATTAAAAATCTAATAAAAACTGGATGTGGGAATATTTTAAAATTTTCTTTTCACTTTTATAGTTGAAAAGTGAAATTTTAGCACTGCAAAGTAGTATAAAAAATTCTTCCGAAGATCACGCAGACAAGGTATGTACCACATTCCTTACATAAAAAATTAATTTTTTATGTAAGGTTTAGTTATTAGTTTTAGTGACATGCCATTGTGCAAGTGTCAAAATTCAGTGCTGGATTAAGCATCCCATCCATCCAGCTGGATTAAGCATTCAGTGCTGGCCCTTGACAAAATGTAAATTAAGCCCCCATTTATAGTATGGAGCCATCTTCTAATGAAATCTTAAATAGTCATTTAAAATTAGTATTAAAAATGGATAATATAAACAAAAACAGTTTCTGGTATAAGAAAAAATGTGTAAAATTATCACAATTAATCAGTTTCTTAAAGATTTAAACAGTGTATTTCCTGATTTTCATTTCAGAAAATTAATCCGTGATATCTAATCTAGCTGTTTGAAAGTATTCTATGGCAAAAATTGCTAAAGATTTTAGCCTTTCCTGTCCTTTTGAATTTTTAAACTAGTTTTAAAATAGGAAAAGTTTGCTTTCTTGTTGCATTACTTAGTCTTCATTAAGTAAATTCTTAATAATATTTCATTATTTGGAAATTAATTAATTTTTATAAATTGGTACAATCATTCAGGCTTCATAATTTGTTCCCCATTGCAATAAATTGTATGATCTTACTGTCTGAATCTTCATTATCGTGTCACTGAAACAATCCTTTTTTTTCGGGGGGATCATTTGTATAATCTGACTTACTCTTAAAATTCTTAAATTCTGTAAAATGTTATTAAAATATTTTTATAATTTTTTGGCATGTTTTATATTTCATATAAATTTTGCTATACGTTTTTTTTTATCATTTTGGTAGAAATATGTCTTAATTAACGATCTAATTTTACTTCTGCTCAGTAAAATATTCATCTGTTTAATTTTCGTCAAAAAGTCATTTCTGTTTCCTATGAGGTCTTTCTTGACTGTTAACATAAATTTTGATATTGCTTATTTTAGATTTCATTACATTTAAACATTAAGTAGTGTATGTATTGCAGTAATCTTTGTAACCTTTATGCACATCAGACGTTTTTACTAGAATTTTGTAAGGATTGAAGATGGATTCATCCTTGTCAATATTTTGTTTCAAGTAGTAGTAATAAGAATAAACACTAGTTTTCTTATTTTATCCTCAGGGTGTTTTTCTTTGCCTTGAATATAAGAATTTTATAATTCACTTTGAATATAATGAAGTAAAAAGCTTAGTATTTTACATAATTCATTTTAGATTGTGTTTATTGCATCTATTCAGCATTACCGCATAGAATTGCATCGTGTCTTAATAGTGAAATATATTTCATTTCTGACAAATTTAGATTCTAAAGCATTCCTATTGCTATGCAATGTAAAATATCCAAATTCTTTCTTCTAAATTTAAATACAATGCAGCTTGTAGATAAAATCCTGTGCTGCAGTATTTCCTACTAAATGAAGCTAATGGGCTGTGTGTTTAAGAAAATGTGGTATTTAATTAGCGTGTAGAGTCATAAGGCTATTTTGAAGCAGGAGACATGAAAAATGTGCAGTGCCCTCTCCAGCACTCGAATCCTGGACTCCTCGAATATAATTTGGCATACTTGACAGTATGCTTTCAAATACATCAGAAACGCATGTGGAAAGGAGGAAGAAAATGCTGTATAGTGTTACATAAATAGATTTCATTTGCCTTACTACTATTAATTTTAGAATAGTACAATTTAGGCTTTTTGTTAGCATGAAATTGTGATCCTGAAAATTTTTATATCCAATAAACAGGATATGTCTAATAAATTTTTTGTCAAATCTTTACTTATTTTAATCAAGGATTTATAGTATAGTAAAATCCCAACTGTGCAGTATTCAGCTGATCAGAAAACTCTAACAACTGGCATGTTTAAAACAAATTTTTACTCTAAAAAATTAATAAATGAGAGGCTTATAATGCCATAATAGAGTTTATAATACTGTAAACATGTATGCATTGTCCAGGGTTTGTATGGTCCTTAATAGTTCTTAAAAGTCATTAAGTTTTTTGGAATCGATTTTGGTCCTTAAAAGTCCTTAATTTTGGCCAAAATCAGCAGAAGGTTCTTAATTTTAATCATCTAAAATAGCTATCTGTTTTTAGGACTGCCATTTTGAGTGTGAATTAGCATTTTGGAGGAATATTTTTGGTGATTCCACTGACAGATATGGTTATCTTTTGAATGGGTGAATGGATTATAATTCATTCCTATTTCTAATATAAATCGTTAGATTTTCGAGTTTTATAGTTAAAGAAGTGCAGCATAACTATTTCAAAATTATTTCATTTTTTCTAATGAATAGCTCTTAAACAACTTTTGGCTTTTGGAGATGTGAATTCGTTTATTAAACGGTTCTGAATTCTTCGACTTATCAACATTTTGGGCGATTTTAAGATCAGTTTCTGTAAAAAATTTTTAATTTTGAGATCTGTGAATTTTTCGGCAATTTTTTTAAAACATTGTAACATGGATAAATTTCGTTAAAATAGTGGTAAAATATTGAAATTATGTTTAAAAAATAACATTAAAATAAAATGTTTTTAATTTTTGCAGTCATATTATAAAGTTCTACTTTGGCCACTTATTATGCAATATTTTGAATCTGCAAAATAAAGAAGGTATAATGCTCTAAAGCTCAATTAACGAAACAGTTTTAGCAAAAGCAAAATAGCTATGTAAATAATTTAAAACGTGTTTTTAAATTTTTTCTTGGTAAGAGTTTTTCCCATGTAATTGTCTCAGAGTATTCAGAATTCTTAGAGTATTCAGCTTTCTCTATAAAATTAATTTTACATCTTTTCCCTGTGATATTTTTTCTCAAAATATTTCTGGCTTTTTACTGTTACAGAATTTTTTTTAGGAATCTAGACATTGCACCTTGGAAAGTTTAGAAGGATTTGAAGGAAAAATTTATAGACCCATAATTCTAGAACATTACAGAAAAATGCCTCCATGCTATTAACACGCAACGAATGTATTTTGCAGAAAGTTTGCGATGTATTTCTTACTTTTTGGAGAAGGTCTGGAAGAACAAAGAAAACATAATATTTGAATGTTTTACTTCTGGTACTAGAATCTTTTTCTTAACACGTTTATCTTTCCTTTATTTTCTCTACTTTTCACTAGACACAGGCATGGAAAATATCAAAAATGCTTTTATTCTTATCAGAAGGACAGGCATTATAGAAAGATTTTTTTCTTAGTAAAGAAATTGAAAACTGACAATTTAAATGATTCATATAATATGTCTGAATGCATCGTACACAGGGCTGGCGCTAGGCATTTTCCGACATGATGCAATTTCTGTGCATCCTAAATTCTGCTGCCTAGTGCCTTTCTAAATTCTGCTTCCGATGCCTGCTCTAAATTCTAAAAGTTTTGCCATTTCTAGATTTTGTTGCTTGGTGTGTCACTAAATTCTAAAAGTTGTGCCACACTGTCTCTGTAACCAGCCCTTTCCATATATATTTCATATTTCTTCTGAATGTTCATATTACTAAAGAAATAAAATTAGCAGCTTTTTTTATGCTTTCTAAAGTTAGTGTTTTTAGAATAACAGTAATCTTTAATTTAAACTCTAAAATGAAAAGGAAATGTGCTGAAAAAAGAAACCTATTTTTCAAAGATATGTACTGCTATTATTATATACGGTTATTATTATGTAAATTACCCAGTTGTTTATAATTTCAGCCTTTACTATAATTTCCCATTTCTGTTTTCTCACCAGAATGCAAATCGCTTAGATAGTTTTTAAACTGAGGTATATGGAATGTAAGACAGAGTGTGTTTTTTATCTCCACTTACTCGCTGCATTAGTTCTTGTCAGCTCTGATAATTTGTAATTTTTCGTCTTTGCATTATCGGTTCTGACATTTGAATTTGTTATGAAGATTGGGTTACTGAGCCAGCTTAAATTAAATTTAAATTGTATAGTATTTGATCACTAAGTCTACATTTTTAGTTTGAATTTGACGCTTCTCGTTTAATTGTAATTGTAATTGATTTGGTTAGCATAAGAACACGCCTTTATGTTGTAAGCCCTTTTTAAATAAGATGTTTATTTAAACCTTTGTCTGACTTTGTAGTTACTTTAACACAGAGCGATAATTTGCTTCACATCTGTCTGGGGTTTTGGACTTTATCAAATCAAGTAAACCCTCATAGTACATTGTGGATAGGCTAATAAATTAGGAGGTAATGCATGCAGAAACTAGTGAGAACACAGGTTTGCATATTGGAAACAAATTTCTAATTGTTAGAAAATATGCTTAAAGAGAATGAAATTGATATAAATTAGCCAGAGTGTCTGCAAAGGCTTCAAATTACAAAGACGCATAAATATTTTGTTGAGTACTGTTGCTATACATGTTTTGTAGCTTTTAATGTGTAATTATTCTAGTATCGTTTAAGAATCAATGTTATAAATTACATATATTTTAACCTGTGACATGTTAATAGATTGTGATTTTAATAGTGCTTTTTTAACAAATATTTTTAAAAGATAAATTTAACAGTGACTATGTAAATCTATAATGAGTTAGAGTGTTTAACTACTTAATTTAATTATTTATAACTAACTGCTTACCCTTAAAAATTATCTGCGTATTGAAGCAAGTTATTGCCTTCATTAATCCTTACTGTAGTCACAAGATAAAACACAAATATGTAAAAATTAATGTAAAACTTATTCTTCGCATCTAGTGAAACTTAAAATAATGCAAAGCAACTGATCACCTCTAATGCTTTATTGGCTTATTGAAACCTTAATGTATATTAACTGGGTTACAACCTCTGAAACTCTATGCGAAGCTACGACACTAACTGCATCAGGCAGAGCCCAACTAATTTTCAAAACTTGCCAGCCGTGCCTACATCAGGCCTTTCAGGTTTGTTCTGATCAGCAGGTATCTCTCTAGACAAGCGGTGACAACAGCCAGTCTTTTGTTAGGAATCATGCTGATTATGATTTTACTTCTAATTTTGGTAAAAGTTTACAATTGGGTGCCCCTT